CCAGTCTACCATCAGCCCAGTCTACCATCAGGCCCCAGTCTACCATCAGGCCCCAGTCTACCATCAGGCCCCAGTCTACCATCACAGTCTACCATCAGGCCCCAGTCTACCATCACAGTCTACCATCAGGCCCCAGTCTACCATCCGGGTCCCAGGGTGCCCTGACCGGGTCCCAGGGTGCGCGCGGCCAACTCCGACGCCCTTTGGTGGCGGTTTACAGCTTCCGCGGCGGAACGAACCCAGCCACCTGCTGTTTGGGCGACCGGCGCCTCTGAAAGGTCACGGGCCTGCGCGCCAACAAGGGCGCCGTGCAGGGTCTGTTTTGGTGGCGGTTCGGGTCCTGACGCGCCACGCGCTGACTAATTCCAATGCTACGATCATCGCGCACGGGTTTGTTTGGGACAGTGGCAGCGAAACGCTTTTACGGCGCCAGCTCCGTTCGCAAAACAATGCCGGCTGCCCGCCGCCAAACTCTCGTGATAACGGTAGTGGCTCAACATCCCGGAACTGCGCGAATCACTGCGAGTACGCGGAACGATCACGAACGCCGGCGCCAGCCCCGCGTGCACAGACGCGTGACGTCACAGGCGGCAGGCGGGTGACGTCACTGTGGCAACTCTCGGCTTGCGCTGGCTGGCTGTGAGAAGGGGTATGACCAGGCGGCCAGTGGCTGGCATGCAAGCCACGATCTCACATACATCTGTCCAGCCTGGTCAGTCGGTGCGCACCTGCATGTCGCCCTGCACGCCCATCGCCAGTGCACGGTGGCAGGGCGGAGCTGCAGACACCGCCCGGGTGGCCAGCAGGCCAACTGGGGCAGTGGGCCACAGATGCGTCCCTGAGCCCGCTCCAAGAGCGACACAGAACGCCGCAGCGGCGACACAACCCGCCGGCGACATCGCCAGGCGACCCGCCCACAGGTTTGACCCGGTCAGCAACATGCAGCGCCGCTGCACCACCCCCACGAGGCAGCTGCGCCATGAGCCCCGCTTCAAGGCGCGGCCCGCGGCAGCCGCCGTTCCGGGGCGAGGTCGGTAGCCACCGGAGTGACCACGCGCGCTGGACGCACCCGTTGACTCAGTGCCGGGCGCCGGCGGCGCTCGGCTGCAGCGGCCGCGCCGAGGTCGGAGGACCGGCGCCAGCCCGAGGACCGCGGGCGGCGGCCGCGTCGCCCGCATACGGGAGCAGGTCCGGGTCACGCACCGACGGCGTGCTACGACGCCCGAGGCGGCACCTCCCGACGACAGGTCGGCCGAGACGCCCCGACACGAGCGATGGCCGGGGCCAGCGCGGACGGGAAGCGGCGCTCCAGCATCGGAGCGGGCGGCGGGCGTGAGACGCGGCGGCGGGACATTCACGGGGCGCAGTGGCGGTCACGCACCTCGCCGTGAGGCTGTCGTTATGGACGCGCGCGGCGTGAGGGCCGCGGATGGAGCACCGTGAGTCACGTCCGCCACGGCGTGGCGGGCGCTGAGGCATGGGAGCAGCGACGGTGATGAGCCACCGGCATGTGGCGATCGTGAGCGGACGATTACACTGGCCGTGACGCGGCCGTCGCCGTGGCCTGGGGACCAGCACCGTGGCCTGGATGACGGAGACGCGCCAGGGTGCACTGCTTCTGAATTTTCTCCACACCGTCAGGGAACATGCTACAAATATCTTTCACGTATAGCCTTACATGTAAAACCTCCGGCTACCTATGAGCATTAATACAAAAGGCTGTCATGCTATCTGCCAGCTACAACAGCAACAATTAAGCAATGAGACGTGCTTTGCGCAGACATAAGGCATCTTTTAGGCCGAGGAGTAGTGGATAAAAGAGAACAAAAGGCATGCTGCCGAAATCGCCAAGCCACTGCCCACCTGCCTTCCCTGGGCCAAACTGCCCTCGCCATTGTAAAGCGTTGGCACCGGTGCATAGGTCAAACTAGCTCACTTCATTTCCCACAACCAGGGCCGTGTCTCAGTTCATGTTTTCTTCCGAAGCCAAGTAACTAGTCCGTCAGCAAGCCCAGGAAGCATTTATGACTTACTGGCTACATAGGATGTAACCCTGTTGCTTTCTGTGCCACAAAAATGTAATTGGATTGATCAGTTTTCACCACGTCATGCTCATCCGACAGTGTAGAACACCTTCAAACACGTCTTTTTCAGTAATTTGGCCCAAGATGTACACGACAGATGCCAGAAGCGTATGAGAAACCGAGCGCATAGTCCGAGCGGTAGCGTGGCAATTTCAAGCACAAAGCGGAAAGCAGTTTACACGTTTACACGACACCAAACCATTGCTAATACGCTATACACGCTACCTAGTAATACGCTTGTAATACGCATTATACGCTAGCAAAAAAATACGTTTGTTATATTTGCCTCGGATTAACATTCTCAAATTTCATGCGCGTGCGTTCCTGGCTAACAATGCCGTCGCCTCTGCACATGCCTGCCATATGCATGTGCCAGTGGTGACACATTGCCTCAGTCTGCGTGACGTTCGCAAAGCTTTGAAGCAGGTCTAGTGAAAGCTGTAAGCCTCCGAGGTCTGTTCCGCAACTATCTCATTCATGTTATGCGAATGTCAATATGACAACCTGGGCCGTGCATCTAATAGTTGACAGCTTCATTCATCACCAGCAGCACACGGCAACGATTTTCACCACAACGTGGCACGTCAATGACTGCTGCGTGGAGGGTCATCAGAGACGGATCCGTCCGGTTCCGACCGTTTACCGAATCGACACGTTTCCCGTGTATTCCCGACCTTCAGACATGTGATCCCATCCCTGCCATGTCGTCAGTCGCGCCGACGCGCCAACAGGATCACGCAGCGTGTCCCCGGTAACAGCGGAGCTGCCGACGGCGGAAACGCCACTCGCACGGCGTGGGAAGAGAACCAGCGCGCGGTCTGGGTGGCCGCTCTTCCCTCTGTGGCGGTCCACCTCATCGCCGTCCGTGGGGCAGGAGACGGCCGCGGGACACGAGCGCCCCCGGCCGCCATTTCCGGCGCCGCTCGCACCGATAGCGGTCGTCGACGCCGACGCGACCGACCCGCCATCTGCCGGCGTCGGCTCCGACGAGCTAAGTATAACCGGCCTTGGCACGTCGCCGCCCCCACGCACCGGCAGCACGTAAACGGCGAACGTCCGGTAAAAGGCCGCGAGAGCATCACAGTCGACTTTGGAGGAGCGGCCCCGGGAGCGAGACGGCCTGGCGAGCGACGGCCGCGCTCCTGGCAGTCGCCAAGGGAGCGACGCGTCGTTTCAGCAGACCGGGCGATCGCCGTCTGTTCTGAAGACCTAGAAACGTTTCATCGCCGCGGATGACAGTCGAAGGCAATCGGACCGAGAGCGTGATGACAGTCGCGCTCCAACTGAGTGGGCGATGGAAACACCGGTGCATTTTAATACGGTGCGAAGTGCACACCTGGCTGTCAAGATGCAGCGATGCAGCGTCGCGACGATGCGACGATGCGGCAGTGCGACGATGCGGCGCTGCACAAGTTACGATGGGCGGGGTCCCTGCCAGCACGCAATGCCCGGCGTGTGTTCATTTGCAAAGTGAAATCCCAGGGCTGCCCAACCTCACACGGGGCCATGCCTTCGCAGCTTCAGGTTAAGGGTTTTACGCTTCGTGCTCTTTGAAGCTTCAGGTCCAGAGTTTTCTGCTTCGTGGTCTTCGAAGCTTGAGGTTCGAGTTTTACGCTCCGTGGTCAGAGAGAAAGCGGTCCGCTTTGCCTGCTGGTGCGGTATTTGGGAATGGGTTTCGTTACAGCTGAGCCCCTGAACGCATCTCAGACGATTTCGCCGTCTCGCGGCCAGCGTTGGGAGGTGAAATGAAGCAAAAGCGAACACTTAACCCATATAACAACAACTCGTTTTGGTTTATAAACTGCATTTTTGGTTCACAACTGTCTTTTTGCTTCATAAATTGGAACAATTCCCTGAAGTTCCTCACACACTATATCACCGCATTCATATCTTGGCTTGGTCATTCCTCTAACATTGAAAGAGGTAGTACGATGCATTGCCCAGTAGTTGACAATGAAAACTAGCTATGTGACCTAGGCTTTTCAGATTTGTAGATTAGTAGTTAAAGGGCTTGGTCTATCTGTCGGCCAACACGAACTGACACAATAAACGTTATCTCGTCAAATGACCAGACAAGTTTCGAGTTTTGATTACAGTGATCGGTTATTGCTTGCAATCACATGAAGAACCAACGGTAAAACGTTTGTATTGTTATGAAGACGCGGAGGCGTCGACAAATTTCCAACAAAAAATCTCACACTTTTCCAGCCATCGCGCAATAATTTCGCGGAAATTGCCCTATAACATAGGTTGTCATACCAAAGCTTTCATGCTTTGGTCTAAGTTTGAGAATGTTGAGTCATTTACGCTCCACGCTCAATCCGAAAGTGAGCGAAAGTAGGTTGCCAGCACCCAGCTAGGCAATACAGTGTCAGCTATAGGGCTTCAAGTTTTTGTCGGCTTTAAAACAAGAGCTACGCTGGGGACATAGGGACTTTACGACGCACTCGGCTACTGAGCTCATATGGCACGCTAGGCGTATGGAAACAGCTGATGTGTAAAAGCACGCCGGCATGCCGGGTGTGGAAACTTAATACTCTCAGCACATGAGTGAAGAGCAAAAGCGATACATGCCGGCATACAGTTGGAAGCAACACTTTGGCCTGTACACATACACTGGAAAGGCTCACACTGTTTTGGAACGAATTACTTTGGCTCCTGGATGCATTTAAATCTCAAGATACGAATTCATCTCCCCACCGATTTACGACAAAAAGAACCTTCCGGACGAAGATAACACCTAAGCCACGGCCAGAATCCTCTGTAACTGACGCAAAACGCACACAACGGCCCCTCATCTGAGACATCCAAGCGCCGTCTCGTCACGCGGCACGGCACGTGGTAAGCCGGCCGGCTGTCCCGGCACAACGCGACCACCGCGTCAGCACAGCGGGCACCCGCCGGAGCTATACGTACGCCTGGCTGACGGCCGAGTACGGGGTCAGCAGCTTCGTCTTGAGATAGGAGAGGGTGTTCGACATGTTGGCGGCGCGTGGCGGTGGCCGCCTGCGATCCACGTGTCACCGGTGCGGCCCGCTCGTTGCCCCACTGCGACGGACCGAACCATCGACTCGCGACCGTGGTTCGGTGGCAAACCGCCGCGCGCGCCACCGTCGCGGTCGGGGTGACTGGTGCGGCTCGGCAGCCGCAGGTGATGTCCCGCCCTTTCCCCCGGCACCCTCCCCGGGTGTCATCGGGCTAGAGGTATCATCTCGGGGCGCGGTGGGTTCCGATCAATCAGCCCGACCCACAAGCTCTTAATCTCGTACGTGCGGCGGCACGATCCAGGAATCGGAAAAAGGATCGTGAAATGGGGCTGTTTCAACTTTTCACCTGGTCAAATGCCATAAGTCACCCATACCATCATCCTTTTGATCTATATCTGACCCAGGACCCGCAGCAGGGAAGGCTTTGCATCCATATCCATCACGGGACGCTGTTAGCATGACCTCTGATCAGCGCTTTGTTCTAGGCTGGCACGACAGACAGATTATGATAATGGCGAGTGTTACTTATGCGGCAGAAGTACGCAAAATGTGCATATACATGTGTGACATGACACAAACATACATTTGGAGAAATACGCTGGACGGAAAACACCTTTCCTTTGGAAGCAAAAAGGGGTTTCTTTCCACTGCGTTCTCATTAGGATGGGGCTCCGAACGTGATGATTTGTACAAAACAAGGATGCTAAAAGACGTGATGACAAAATTGGAAAACAGGGCATTTGGCAGAGTACGGTTTGCATCAGTCATGCACTCCTGGCAGGATCAACCAGGGCAAAATACAAAAGGGATCTCAAAGCCAGAATTCACCCAAGAGCATCAGAAGTTTCTCTATTCAACCAATGCACAATGCAAAATAATCAAAGACACGTGAAACTGACGCCTCCATCTGGACCTGAACTGCTTCTTTGGACTTGAAGAGGAGCTTGGAACTCTCTCTGACCCTCTGGAAACTCTCTCTGACCCTCTGGGAACTCTCTCTGACCCTCTGGGTGCCAGACGCACGCCACATGCGTCCTGTTTGTAATTCTGGTTACGAGTAAATAATGGACGCTGTGGTTTTGGTACTTGCGACCGGGTATTTGCGTATCTAAAACTCAAAGGCCGAGTATATGGCTCACGTTTCATGTCCAGAGCGTTCGCGTTCACGTCCATAACAAACGATTGGCACAACAAACGCCATATCCTGCAAAACAGTCCCTGTTTCTTGTCATACGATACAGGATGCTCAATATCGGCCGGAATTGCGATTCTACATGGCACAGTCTGCAAGACATGTCAAACAGATGATGTATATTTCAGGCCTGACGACGGAATTGAGGCGAACCGACTGGCACATTTTGCAGGCAGCCCCTATAACTGTATAAGGATCGGCGGCATGGCATACAAAAATGCCTTCTTTCCATTGCCGAGCAAGTTCTTCTGAAAGCCGACGAGGTTTTCAGATCTCCATTGCCATTGGCTATACTCGCGAGCTGGAAAACCCGTGCGAACAATCCAGCGCTGTTACCCGTCTCCAAGATGGTCACTGGATCGGCAACAGACAGGGAAAACGTGGAGCGGAGTTTTTCTGTAACCTGTAGGACAATGGAAGCGAGGCTTTGTCCGTGAATGTCGACTAACGATCCCCAAAAGGAGTCCGGCAGGGTAAGATCAAATTTCACGGCAATTTTGCTCAAGTGTGAGAGTGAAAGGCCCCGCTTCCTTCGCAAGTATGGACTGAGTGCTACGTGTCACACCGCGCGTTGCGCCCGTAGCCCATCGCTAGCCGCTTGTTGCTTTGTCAAGTTTCACCTATACAATATCTTCAAGGATTTTGCTCTTTGGGTCTACGTTGCGTGCTCTATTGGCCCAATACTGACTGCGTTCCTGCACCGTCTTTCGCTCTGCATGACCCTGCGCGCCACCTTGTCGCTGGAAACCTGTAGTGTTGGATAACTAGACCCTTGTTGGGTTTTTCAATCCATGAACACTCCTTTTACCAGCCGCAGCGCAGTCCCTCTGTGACAGACTAGGCACTGAAGCGGAACCTGGCCGCTCAGGCACGTGCGTGGCGATGCGAAAGCTTTGGTTCCTCAGTATATGAAGCCTTGACTTCAGTTCCAAGTTGTTTGGCGACCGGCTGAATGCGCCGCGCTCGGTTACGTGGCGCTGTGAACCCACTGATGTCAAATTTGAGGCTCCTTGGTTGCCAGTCAGGACAATGCACTTTGTGTGCCAAAAAGAACATTCTAGGGTGAGCATGAACCCGTTTTCTTGAATGCTAAAAAAGCTCAAGAAAACAAATGCGGGGAAAAGAGCATTTTCTTGATTGCTCAAGCGATCGAGAAAACGAGTGTGCAAAAACGACAAAAGATACCATCTATGCAGCCTTCGGAGCAAATTAGATCAAACTGAAGATATATGCCCAAAGTGCCCTCGGTCCTCCACACACAACCAGTTTAAACCTACACACCGCGTAAAAGCAAGCAAAAGTTAATTGGCGCTTATATCAGGTCAGTGACCTTATTTGACCTTAACAATATAACAACGACCAAAGAACTTTGAGGTTGTTGAGATATTTGAATTCGAAATCGGAGCCAAGAACTGCACTAGGTGACATGCTGCATAAAATAAAAAGTTTATTAAGGTCATTAAGTCAGTGATCTCTCCTGACCTTCACGAAATCAAAATAAGACATCTTTAAACGTCATTGTGATCCATGAATTCTAAATGAGAGTGCAGTCAAAGTGGCAGGCAGGGGGAGTGGAACAATCTTTTCTCGTTTACACGCACTCGCTTTCTTGATTACTTGAGTGCTCATTAAATACCCTCTGCTTCCCGCACTCGTTTTCTTGATTACACGAGCAATCAAGAAAAGGAGTGTGTGCGTGCGCCGGATTGTTCCTGCAGCCACATGACATACATTGTCCTGGCTGACAATTAACACATAAAATTGCCTCGCTAAATTTTTCTCGGCGATATTGCCACGATGTTGGATATTCTAGGACATTTGAACAGATATATTCCCCGAACAATCCACTGTATCCAGCAGCCTCCTGCCTCCTCAGAAGTCCTAATTCTCCCCACGCCATGTCTCATACACCAGCCAGTCCCACGTCAGCTTCTTGGAACACATTTCTCCGCTCCCATAACTTATCTGAGGTTGTTTCTGATAATTTACAAACTGAAAATGAGGCAAATATCCACTGCAGTTGACGCACCCTTAAAACCCAACAACTCACCAGCGGACTGCGCATCCGGAGCGGTATAAAGTCACTCTAGACAATGCCATATAAGGGTTTAAGGTTGCTTAATACGTAGTGTTGCGTGAGGTAGCGGATGATGAGGGACATTTGGTGGGTCGCTTCTCCCGGACCTTCCCTATATTTTGCCGTGTCTGTCCGCTGTCTGGTGACGGGAGGGTCAAAGCCAGAGTCGGTGCAAGTTCCACAAATAAAAAACCAGCTGTAATGCGCATAGGTGGGCTCGAAGCCCCCTACATTCCTAAATATTAAGCACTAGGCTCACAGTGACGCACGAAAAGGAACGACTCAAAATTTATCTGAGCTCCCCCAATTCAAGATAAACTCTCTCGCTCCAGCTCGCAACTACCCAGCTTCGCAACCTCTGTTCAAGCGTGTGCTTGAGGCACAATGACTGTGCCGTCCATTAAAATTTTGAGAAAAAAACCAGCTTCTGTAATCTGTTTCAATGCCACAAAACAGGAGGCATCGCAATTATGCGCTTCCAGCAAACATTTGGCAAGTGAAACGTTGATCTCGTCTGCAACAGTTATTTCCGAGGTGAATTCCACTATGGTCTACGCACTTTTCCACCGCATAGTATGCCATAGTTCTCGCCTGGATGCCCCGCCGGCTGTCAGCCAGACAACAGGCGCCTGAAGCAAACTGCAGATTACTCGACATCTGTCATAAAGCAGGCCACTTGTCGTTAAGCTGCAGACCGAGCACATCCAACGGGACTGTATTCCGAATCGCACCTGATTTGCTTGCATTGGTAAACTGCCCTACAGGCAGTAAATCAAATCTATATGGGCCGCCGTCATTGACCGGCAATTCCACTGCATTGGGGTGGACACGATGAGATTGGTCTCCACATCTGATAATAGGGAATGCGACGTGATTGCATCTGTGCCGATTTATTCGGTCTGCTCCTCTTATCGCGGACAGTTAACATTGGCCACCATCACATTGGTTTGTCGTCGTCCGCCGGCACTGATTTACTCGGACCACTTGTCAGGAAAAGCGAGAAACGGCCTCTCTCTTTCTGCTCCAGGAGTGCTCAGCGGATGGGCGTGTTGCTGGTAACGGCATTGACTTACACTTTTTTCCCGTGCCAGATGCCCTCTCCCCACCCCCGCAAGGCCCCGCGTCTGCCTAATGGCATTGCTCGGCTGAGTTAACGGTCCGGTCCCCGGATAACGGCAGCGGCACGTACGCGAGGCCTCACTGGAAAGACGCTCCGCCCGAGCGGCGACGTCCCGTCACTTTCCTGGGGCGGGACACCCGACACGCGAAGGCTACGGCGCTCCTCAGCCGAGTCCGCCTGCACGACCGTGGCACCGTGACATTCGGGTGACATTCCATTCGGCGGCGTGGGTGCACGGTGCTGACATTACCGCCGGAAACGCAGCTGTCCCCATACCTGACACCTGCGATTGTGACATCTAAGGCCCCCCGGGACGCGTGCAGACGGACGGGATCCTGTTCCCTGAGGATACGGGACGAACTCGCGGGGCAGCAAAGCCCAGGCAGGAGGTGATGCAGCACAGCAACGGCGCACGGCGACAGCGTTCAGCGGATGGATTGACACGAGAGCGTGACAAATATTCCTCTCTGTTTTTTTACTAAATAGATCTTTACGATTCATGGATTGCAAGGATGTGAATTAATGGAAGCTGGCATACTTTGATTTATATTACAAATCAAAGACATGCATCTCAGTTTAATGATACACTTGCCCGAGATCATGATGGCTTTTCATTGCTATGGCTGAATTGTTATGCTTTTGTTATCTTTTTCTGAAACATACATCACGATTGAAGGAATAATCTAACAGCTAATAATCCAACAGCTGTACATATTTTGAACATGATACTGTGATGGAGACCCCAAACGCAACATTTACTGAGGGTTTAGGTAGTTAACCTGGAGTTTATTTCGCTACGGATTCATACCGAGTCTGACGCAATGAACAATGACGACGCATAAGAAGGAAGTCGCGACAGGACATGAAAACGTCACTCACATGGCCATTACGGACATGCCGTAATCGAATTCGGAATGTGCGTCGACAAACGTGGAAGTGCAGAAGTGTCCTTATTCAAGGCGTGGTACCTTGGGAACAATGGAGTTCACTTACTTCCTGATCTCTCTGTACTGTTAACCACTATGCCTGACGAAGGTGCATACTTAGATTCACCCTGCATGCTTTAGTGATGGTCGCATTATTACATAATGAGAGGACACTGCCGAGTTCATCACTGCCCACTGAGAACAGCTGCACCATTATCTCCAGGTTATCTCGGACGTCATCCGTGGCGATCACGCGTCATCGTCGGTGCCGTTGTGTCGGAAAACTGTTGATGTGGACAGCTTACCATGGTTCGCGCACGGCGTCGATGAAAGCCCGCGCGGGCTCGAGAAGTTTGTTTGCAGCTTCGACGAGCATCCTGCAGCCTCTTCTCACTGGTCACCGCTGAGATTGGTCCTCCACCGTCGTCAGAGCTAAAATCTCTTCCACCGCCCTTCACTGCTGATAACTCTGCCGTCGCTCTTCACTGCTGAGAACTCTTCTGTCTGGCAACGCTGGAAAGGGCTGGCAGCTGGTGTGTATCTGAAACAGCGACGTTTATGTAAGACAGAGGGGAAACTTGAGTGTGCTTCCCGCACGTCCCTCCCGACGGCACGCGCACCGTTTAAGACAACCCAATATTGTCTAACAGCGGGGTGTTCTCGTCGTTTTTCCACTGGAGTTCTGGTATTGAAAGATCCGCGCAGCTGAGGACAACCCACGCCGGAAGCTGTTCTCGTCCATGATGAGCGGCACGAATCCCCAATGTCACTAGCAGGAGGTAGGTGAAGAATTCCCTATCGTTGTAGAAACGCGGGACATCGAACGACATCATTGCACAGCACCGCTGTCCTGTTGCAAACATTAAGAGGCATACGTTATAGATGCGTGGATAACATATTTCGGGACAAATCTTCAGTGCCACCGGCCTCTCTCTGCGATCAGTCGACGGCGGCCGACGATGCCACGAATCTGAAGCCAAGGCCGCGATCTTGGAATCGTGAATGTGGGCCGACCACAGAGATAAAGGAAAACACCTCATTTTGGAATAAGTTTCCATAACTATGATGAGAAAGGCAGTAGTGTCCTTGGCCGTGCCAATCGAAAAAGGACCTTCCTTCATCTGTTCATCGGAGGCGGGCAGCGGGCGGCGCTGAGTGGCGCTGTCTAGCGTGCCATGGACTATTCGGGTGCGGTTGTAAAAACGGTGGCATTCTGTCACTTACATGTAGGACACCAATTCTAACAATTCACATTGCGTGTTTGAAGTTGACATATTTTTTATTTCGTTGAACTCAAGTTGCGTGTAAATCACATCATTTTTACAGTTTTGCATACAATTTGCTATGCAAATTCGTCGCCGCCTTAGATGATAGGCATCGGGGGCACTTAGAGCCCGACTTTCCTCATCAAGGGACATTGTAACATACCAGACAAGCCCTCGACACAATCGACCGCACAAAGCGTAATGCAGCGCTTTGCCGTCACGTCCTTTGACAGCGACCTTAACGGACTTCCAGAGAGTCGCACGGCATACGACGATGGAAAGCCAGCGCAATTGGCCGAGGTCAGGCGAGGATGATGCTGGCTTTCCCCACGGAAGCACAGCAGCCTACACACCGAACTAAACCAAAACCATCGGGCTGGGTCCGCCGGCCTGGTGCTTTGGTGCGCTCAGCGTTGGTGCGGGCTGCACCACTCGACCGTCCGGATGCCGGCGCCCACCCTCTCCGGCAGGACTGCGTGACCCCGACGCGACCTGACCTGCTCCGAGGACGACTATCAGGGTCAGCGGAGCGGAGCAGGGACGACCCTTCTACGGGCTGAGCAGAATTCAGGAGCGGACAGCATCTGGCTATCTTCGTACTGGGATCTAAGTGGTACGCTCAAAGGGGATGTTCCACACTTGAAGACATTGAAGAAAACATCAGATATGATGAAATATGCTCACTATTGGTATGCTTTAAAGTGAAAAAACACTGCTCTAGACATCACACTTTATTTTAGAAACTATGCTTCTTAATGCATCATTGCTTGATTTCGTCCCAGAACGTTTCCATAACGTTCAGGTGCAGCCAAACTAGCCGCGCAAAATTGTCATCCTTGCACTAACTTATAGTACTTCAAACTCGCCGTGAGATGGCAGTACAGCGCTGGACGAGTTCGCTGAGCCAAATATCGTTATGTGCTCGTGTTTTAGCCTTTCTAGTGGTCTTTTTACGTATTTATCCGTAGGCTTAATGAGCTTACTTCACATACCCAGTTATGACACAATCCTCAAGTTCTTCGATTACAAGTTGTATTTCCATAAAAGCTGGCAATTATATCCAACTTTTTATATCATATAGTACAAAACGTCATTGGAACTCACACGACCTACGATCAACACCGACTGGGAGCCAACTAACATCCGCAATGGTTGGGAATTGCGCACACGGACGCCAGTTTTAGTCGGCTCGACCACGACATTTTCCTGCCCTCGAACGCCGCGTGACGGAATTTGAATGACATTGCTATGGCGTCCAACATGCCTGGGTGACCTTTAAATAGTCTGCACCAAGCAACCAGCACATCTTCGCGGGCGTTTAGCTCAGAAACTAGAGGGTCTTAGGCCTTAAGGGGATAGGGCTGTGAACTGCACCAAATAATCTTCAACTTGACTATTTCGGTCCACAGCCCCAAACGAATGTGGAACAGTCCTTTTAAAGGGACAGTGTCATCTTCAGGTGTTATCCCACATATTCTGCGCAGCTGGTCACCGCTGTAGACATCGATAACGTACATATAGAGGCAATATATACTACATATATATCTGTGGTAAGCGCATGCATGACACTAGAGAGAAAGTATTCAGTTGCCACTCAAAGTGTGCGATGATGTAGTCACTATCCATTGTTTAAGTATGGCGGGCGCCCAAGT